GGGATGATCTTTATGTGAATTACAGGAAGCAAAGGCCCTTAAAGAATGCCCACCAGAATTCTGGCCATTGTCCTACGCCACACTGTTCCATGAGAACATCGTTTTATTCCAAGGCAAGAAAGACGTGCTGGACTAAATGAAAATTTTAAAGGATTATAAAAATGGGCAGGGCTTCAACGATCGAATGTGGTTCAATAGCGAGTCCGAGGCGGGTTTACCACCGGTCAAAGCTTGGCCTTTTAAAAAAGGAGTCCCTGCGTATTCTGGAGAGGAAACATCGAATGTGTAATGAATAGTCCACCTCTGTGGTGAATGTGAAAGCTAGGATGCTATTACGGATTTGGAACCATGAAACAAGTAGCAGAGACTAAACTCTGAAGTTCAAAGCTATGAATGTGATGTAGAAATCTGGTGTTAATTAGCTACTCACTTTGAATCAAGGCATTTTGTTTGTCTAAGGCGGCTAACAGCCTCATAATCAGTTGCACCCCGTCGATTATACGGACTGTATAACGAAACGCACTGGTACTAAAATTATCGAAGACTATGTAGTTTGGTGCCCTCAATCTTGAGTAGAAAGTGCGTCTAACATTTATATTCAGCTCCTGATTTCCCCAACACTGTGTCTTGAAAATCTCTTCTATGGCTTCAATGAATAACTCTGGCTATATGCGTCTCCCTGTCAGACACCCCTTCTGATTTCAAACTTGCTTATGCCTTGGTGAACTTCAACATTACCAGTTGCATTCCTTTAAATTACAGCGATGGGGTTTCTTTATCCCTCTCTGGTTCCTCAAGGAATTCAGTACAGAACGTACGTAGACTGAATCAAAAGTGTTTTTGAAGTCGTCGAACCCCAGGCAAAAAGGAAGTTGATGTTCGTCGCTTACGTGAATTATTTGTTATACCACCTGGAGATAAGCCATAGTACTAAATAACTGTACAGCGCCAAGTTTTTCTTGCAGTCTGTTTGCCAAAACACCATGCACGCCATAATATTTGCAGGTCACCATCTGGCAACCGTTTTCCGGCTTTCCGGAATCCCTTACCAGAAAAAATTAGAACAATTGTACGATGCCCATGATTAAAATCTGCGTCTTTAAACTTCAAAGTCAAAAGAACGCCATCTGCACCACTCTCCACGTATTCTGTAACAACGTGCGATATAAGAAACCTTGTAGACAAGTGAGTGCAGAGAAAAAAAGAGCAGAACATGAATATGCCTTACCTTGATTTTTTCCTCCACAAACGGCAGCAGAGGATATGTCTTTTTTGCATGCTTGAAGAAGCTCGCCTTTTGTTGTTGCTCAAATCTAAACATCACGTCGTATGTGTACTCAGCGGCGTCTTCCACGCCAACCTCTTCGTCGTTCGAGTCCTCGCTGGACTCAACAGTTTCAATTCTGTTACTCCGCCGTTGCGCTTCGAGTCTAGAGAAAACACACCACAATACAAATCAAGATAATAAAGTAGCAATAAAGCTGAGAACAGAGTAGTCACAGATAACCGGCAACGATACCGTTGTCTCGCCGCCTGCTGTTCCTTTTCTTTCTTCACCCTCCAGTATTCGTCCAGCTCCGCTCCTTCCAAGCGAACTCGTCGTTTTATCTCCAGCGTCACTTGTCTGTTCGGCACAATGTCCTTCGTGGTTGCCAGTGCTATAAGCCGTGAAGCAAGCGTGTTCGACTGAGGTCTGCTAGTGACGATGATACTGTTCTTCGGGTCGACGCACCATTCCAAGAACAGCTCCCTCGAGAAGCCGCATTCCATATCCGGATGACTTGTCAGCACAACCTGAACACGACAAAGACGGGTTCACAACTACGCAGAAATTATATTGAAATTTAATTTAAGAACAAAAAATTGAAGGATCAATTCATAAAATCAAGCAGCACAAATTAATAACTAAATTAGGCAAAACGATTTCAACCAGAGTAATTAAAAAGCATATTGTTTCCATAAACGGCAAGGACGATCTGGCCATGAACGGCAAGCATATGAACATATTACTTAGTAACGAACACCGACTCAGAAAATTCGACCGTACGACAGTTGATATCTAGGACACAAGGATATTAGTTGACTCAGAAATTTTGACATTTCTATCTGAAGTTGCTGGTCACTTCCAGGCATAACGTCAGCAGCAAGCCACTGCATAATGAATGACCGCCACTCCATAATTTCCCCTGCAAACTCTATCTAAAGCACCGTGCATCGATATGGGACTTGTACAAGCATAAACGTTTTCACTATGAGTCCGGGTCTCACATCTTTCCTTTGATCCTAAGTTGCTAGGGTTCAT